ATATGTTCGAATTCAGGAAATAATGGTTGCTGACTTGATTCCTATTTACGCTTCTTGGCATTTCCCTTGTTGACTGGGGTTATTGTACTTTAAACGCTGTTTTCGGACCATTTGTAGATCCAACTTCTTCTCTTTGCAGAAAAGCTGTCAACATTTCATCCCAAGAATCTTCCACAATTCCTTTCTTGTACTCATTTTATCTGAGCTTTTAAAATTTATTAATAAATCAGGTACTAAATTTACGTTGCTAACACAATGCATTAAATACTGAAGATTTCAAATTTATTACAACCACATCTGTATGTTTCAATTGTGCATGCATGCTGCACCTGGCATTTGGTAATAAGGACTATCTTAACTAGAGCTTATTTTTAAAGCAGGCCTTATATTAGGAGTAACCAGTAAATTCATGCTAGGGCTTATTTCCGAGAAAACACGGCAGTTCTAATAAAAAATAAATATAAATCTGACAAACTGGAAAATGAATAACAAGAAATATGATTACCAGGCAAAATTCATTTATCACAACTACTGAACACTATAAAACAAATCTTACCACATTCATTTAAATGATTTTCTTTATTCACAGATATATTATTTCCATCTTTAAGAGGATATGGCGTATCACTCCGTGAAAATGCTTCAGAATTTGACTGCACCATCCAATGTTTTAATTTTGAACCTGAGAGATTATCCTGAACTTCTTGAGATCCATACTGCATTAAGTTATCTGTACCCCAAATATTTGGAGGAAAAACTGTTGTTGGCTTGTTGAAATTTTTATTTAAAGAATAAGGATTTTGAGATCTTTTTAATCTAGTTGAACCTAAAAATTAACCATAAATACGTATAAGAATTCCAAATGAGAGAACAATACTTCAGAATTTAAAAATAAATATGAAATAACAAAGGAAAGACACAGAAATAATCCAGATTTTTACATCTCATTCATTACATAAATATAAGTACCTAAAATCATTAAATAACACATGCTGTTCAGACCACACTCAAATGAAACTCCCCTTCCTTTGCCCTAACTATCTTTTCATCAAAGTATTGCCATTTAAAAAAATTCTTTGAGGAGACACAGTTGCTTCTGTATGTGATTTCCACAAAATAAACTTCAATTACTTCAATTAATGGAAAAATTTATGCCATCACTTGTATACTTCCACATACATTAAATTCAGAAAAAAGCTTTAGTAGAAAACCCAGTCCATTCACTCAACAAACAAAGTTAGAGTTTTCATAGAATTTCTGCATTTCAATATCACATTTACCATAAAACCCACCAATTGTTCATACTAATGGTGTGGATATGTGGTCCAATATGTGGATTCAGCAAACTTCTGATGTTTTACCAGTATTTTTTTTTTTTTAATTTTGTGCTTATTCTCAGGCATACCATGGATGCTGGTTTGTTTACTTACTTCAAAGTAATATCATACAAAGTAATGGTGTGGATATGTGGTCCAATATGTGGATTCAGCAAACTTCTGATGTTTTACCAGTATTTTTTTTTTTTTTTTTAAATTTCGTATTTATTCTCAGGCATACCATGGATGCTGGTTTACTTACTTACTTCAAAGTACTTTGCAGCCAGAGTTACTATCATCACAGAAATTCTAGTGTTACATTTTCATACCTGACTGCTGGGATGCCATCTGACATTCATACGCCTATATCTGTAAAGCTTAAAATTTTAATATGCCCATTGCATAGTAAACATGAATTTTTTTTTTTTTTAAAGGGGGAGGGATTTCTAGCAAAAATTTGCAAGGTTAACTTGGAAGTTTTTTCCCTCATTTTACAATAAAAATTATAATTAATGTACAATGATCGAATTCTCACTTCCCTTTATTGCATCTAGGAAAAATTACACAGCTATTACATTGTCTAAAAGAAGAAATATAAATATAGTTTACCTTCTCATGGCAACCCCCTCTGACAAGAATTTCTGAGAACATAAAAAACCTATCAGAATTGGCAACTATATTATTACTCTCTAAGACAGCTATTAACTAATCCTAACGAAGCCGTCAAATTCATATTAAGACAAACCACTAAAATGTCAAATTGCACTATCAAACTATATTATTTTATATATTAATCAAATGAAAGAGATACTCTTCCAATTTCTTATTATATCAAAACAATGGCTACCCAGATTTCCCGTCAGAGGAGTCATCACTTATGTTCTTAGCACAACAATAACAACAACCAAAAAAAAAAAAAAAATCATGGAAAGTAGTAGTTAATAATTCTAAATCATATCATGAAATTTATCACAGAAGCTGAATAAAGCATTGTCACAGATAATGCTTTAAATTATTCATCACATTAGAAAACTGTTTATATTAAGTTTTCATTTCCTGTCTGCACAGCTGTTAACATATCATGAATGAAAGTTAAAGATGTTTACAAAACAGTTCATTTCTGTTTATGGATGTTCCTATACATCATGTTCACTTTGCAGTCAAGAGGTTAACTGTATATATGTGTTGAAGACCAACTGCAAGATATACATTACTGAAATGCTTGCCAAAGCCTCTCCTTTTAAAAAGTGGAAGAAGGAGAAAAATTATGCCTGATATTCTAAATTAAAAAAAAAAAAAAAAAAAAAAAAAAAAAGTAACAATTGTTAGTTGTTAAACTGGAAAATAACAAAATCATTGATTTACTTCTTCAAGTTCAGAACTGTTTTAGGAAGAGGAGCAATTAACAAGTTTAGCAAAATGACTTCCCTGGCGGAATAATTTTATAAGTGTTTCTGACGTTAATAAAAAATTTTAAGTGCATTGCTTAGTTCTCCCCTTGTTTACCTATAACAATTGTTCCCTGTACTTTAACAACTTTGTTCATTTGCAGCATTTTAGAAAACTAACAATAAACTATATTTCTACATTTCATTTTACAGTTATATAACTAAATGGTTTTCTTAGCTGTTATTTGCAATTTTATGAATAAGCCCACATACCACAATTATAGTAATTATAGTAAGTTGTTTCAAAAATAATAATCGCAAATGTTCTTTAGTAAAATAACCATATTCACAAAGACTGAGATAAGAGAGGATTTATCATAAGAGATACTTGGATTAAGAAAAATATATTTCTATATGAAAATACATAAAATACAAATTTTGGGGGGAAAACACTTTAATGGTCTTTTTAAAGACTCAATAGAGCATAGTAACTGAATATTAATTCATATGTGACAGCAAATTTACTATGCAAGGAGGAACAGAGTGTGTTCAATGCAATGAATTTCCAGACAAGTGGGAAAACATATTAAATTGCATTAAAGTTATATATATATAATAATTAGATTTAAAAACAATAACCCACAGACTGAAAGATATACATTAAATGCAAAGCAGAAAGCTAAAATAAAACAAGCCAGAAATTTCTTTCATAATTTAGGCAGTATATGTAATTAACAAAAAATGCCGTAACATACCCACAATATCAAAATGAAACTTTCCTTCAGAAATACCAGTGTGTTCAAGATGTAATGGACAATGAAATCATACACACTTCATTAGAGATTACAGTGTATATAAAATTTAATTTGCTACAATTCTATTTTTTAGGAACACTACATATAAAATAGATTTAGGTAGATAATTAAAACCAAAATAATAATTTATACAGCCAAAAATCCTTCCAGATAAAGTCCGTGCAATTAGGAATAAATGGAAAAACTAAATCTATTGTTAGCTCAGGGTCTAATCATGCAAATATAAAATAAAGAGAGTACACTTTAAACTGTTTAAAGATTTATTTATAAGCATAGAATATTATATATACCAAGAACTGCAGTACTAACAGTTTTGTTTTTACACATCCATCTACTATCTCAAGTTACATACACACTGCCACCATTCTCAAGTTACTAAATACTAAATGCTGCCACTTACACATTAATAAATGTTACATCTTCCTTTTTTTAATTAAAGGTAATCATTAAATGAGATCAAGAATCTTAAATGGGATAACATGCAAATAGGAAGAAACCTTGTTTAAGCATAGATTTTAAAGAAAACTCAACCAATTTTTGGGCAGATTAGATATGGGCCCCTCTTCTTCAGTAGCAAAAACATTTTGGAAATAAGGGAGGAGCAATGACAGTAGCATCATCTGTAGAGGAAATTAGTAATGAAACACACCAAATTAAGATATTATTTTAAAAGCATTACGAAGGACTGGATTGAAATTAATATCATTAATTAAAGGTGATAATTTTTTTTTAATGTTAAAAGCTTATATAAAATCCAGTTTACCATTTGAATAAGCTTTGGGAATAATTTTTGCAGGATTCAAATGATGAACTGTACTGGCAAGTCAGAAAAATTGCCAAAAAGTGTAACTTCTGGGAAATCCATACAATTTTGTAACCGACAGGAGGATGAGATGGAATGACGACTTATTTATTAAAGTTATTTCTTACAATGGAACCCCGTGCCCATCCCATGAACATTTTTTGTCTTTTCATTAAAGATATTTTGCATTTGAAAATACCATTAATAATCTTGCCATTATTCCATTTCATCCTTCTATCAGTTATAAAATTGAACAGATTCTCCCGGCATTCCAACTTTCAGGTAATTGTCTTAGCTATCTAGTAAAGTTTGCTGTTCAATTCTTAAAGATTCCATATCTGATATACTATAAATTCTTAAGGAATTTATAGCATATCTCTGCAGTTTTGCTTGAGATACATCAGATAAAATAAAAGTCCATAAGATTTCCTGTCAAAGAATGTACTCGCAGTAAGGAAACACAAATCAATCAAAGCTAAAACGTAATCACAATTCGGACTCGGGATTTGCAAAAGTTATCCGTAAAGCTTGAATAACTGGCAAACTGGATTTCCACAAAGCTTTGCATATTAAAAAAAATATCTTTTTTAGTTACTGATATTAATTACAATGCAGTCTTCTCTAGTGCTCTTAAAATTAAAACACCTTAACTTTTCCCGGTTCATTACTATTTTCACCAACAGATGGCACTATATCAAGCCTCACTTTGACCTGCCCATTATTGTTGATATGAATACGACTGTCGCTCCTCCCTCCTTTGCATTTTTTACTCCTAAAGAAGAGACCAATATCTGATCACCCTCAAAATCAACAATTTTATTTAAATATAAGCCAAAATAAGTTTGCTATTTTGTCTAATTTTTAAGGGTAAAGTTGTTTCAAAAATAATAATCGCAAATGTTCTTTAGTAAAATAACCATATTCACAAAAGACTGAGATAAGAGAGGATTTATCATAAGAGATACTTGGATTAAGAAAAAATATATTTTCTATATGAAAAATACATAAAATACAAATTTTTGGGGGGAAAACACTTTAATGGTCTTTTTAAAGACTCAATAGAGCATAGTAACTGGAATATAATTCATATGTGACAGCAAATTTACTATGCAAGGAGGAACAGAGTGTGTTCAATGCAATGAATTTCCAGAGCAAGTGGGAAAACATATTAAATTGCATTAAAGTTATATATATATATAATTAGATTTAAAAAGACAATAACCCACAGACTGAAAGATATACATTAAATGCAAAGCAGAAAGCTAAATAAAACAAGCCAGAAATTTCTTTCATAATTTAGGCAGTATATGTAATTAACAAAAAAATGCCGTAAACATACCCACAGATATCAAAATGAAACTTTCCTTCAGAAATACCAGTGTGTTCAAGATGTAATGGACAATGAAATCATACACACTTCATTAGAGATTACAGTGTATATAAAATTTAATTTGCTACATTCTATTTTTTAGGAACACTTACATATAAAAAGTAGATTTAGGTAG